GACACTCTCAAAATTCCTGCTCATCCAGGCTGCGACTGCGACCTGGCTCCGAGTGCAGAAGCCTCCGGCGCCGGCTCCGCCGCCACTCTTGAGGCCAAAGGCTGCCACTTGGTGGATCGAATTGAACCTCCGCCTAAGTCAGTGGACTTAACTATTAACTAACTATAAATAGTATTTTCCTGCTAATCTCGGAGACAAAGGCACCGAAGCTGCCGCTGAGTGCAAAGTTCGGCGAGGGCTTCAGGTCGTTTGGCCAATCGGTGGAGGAAGCCTCTCCAACGGCCGTTGGTACGTCGCCAGTGCCATCGGATGAGGCCCGATCAACGATCAAACCACAATGGTTATTAGGAACTCTCGGTAATAAATCAGGCTAGTCCACGAAAGGATAACAAAGCAATGAGGGTTTAGTTTGGGGCTTTGCGGGCCATCGGGGTTCCCATTGTAAAAATCCTTAGAACATCATTTGGCAGGAGATGCTGGAGCCGTCTCCGACTGCAGAAACCGAAGGCCCAGGCGCAGCACTGATTGCCCCAGCATCTGCAATCGGCGGCGGCTCGTGCCCAGCACCAGCTGCAATCGGCGGCGACGGCTCCTGCCCAGCATCTGCAATCGGCGGCGACGGCTCCTGCCCAGCATCTGCAATCGGCGGCGACAGGAGCCCAACATCACCTGCAATCGGCGGCGACTCGTCGTGCCCAGCCGCATCATCCGCGCAGCCTGAAGCAGCAAGGCCCAAACTTAGCCTCAATCTTGGCTTGATTTCTCGTCGGGCTTTCCTAGGGTGACGAACCCAATATAACCCTAAATTCTTATTCGGGTGGCAAATCGAAAATCAATCTGAATCTATCTTCCCATCATCAGCTGAGGTCTCGGTCAGCTCAGCAGCCGGAGTTGAAGAAGAACAGGCTGAATCCTGGACTTGGTGAACATGCCATCATAATATTACTTAAGATTGTCATCATTTGATATCGTGGGTTGCCTATTACAATATTCTTTCGAATCCAAGGAGGGCCGAACTTCATCAGCATCATCGTCCGCCAGCAGACGCAGGGCCAAGCGGCAGCGGAAGGAGGCGCGGAAGGAGGCGAAGCGGGCTGAGAAAGCCAGGAGGAAGGAGGAGGAGGAGCAGAGATTGCTGCAGGAGGAGGAAGAGAAAAAGCGCCGAAGGCGCGAGGCGGCGAAGGCGAGAGCTGAGCACAAGCGTTCGCTGGAGCTTGCTCGGGCGAATCGTCCGATTGTGATGGTTCAGGACATGACCTTGGAGGATCTTCGTCGCCTCAGCCGGGAGTGAAGAAAAAGTTGTCTGGGAAGCTGAATTGAAGTGAGTTTCACTTTCTGGGGTTGGGGCTTCAGGATTCTATTTTTAAATTTACGCGTGTATGGATGCAGGGTAAACCTTTTAATTCAATTCTGATTTGCAAGCTCTCGGGGTCTGGGCCGTTTAGAACTACTGAACAAATCCAAAACATCATCATCAGCCCCAGACCCAGCATCAGCCCCATACCCAAAACCCCAAAGCAAGATTCAGCCTTTGAGTTTGAGGTTCAGGGAAGTGCAGCTAATTAGATTCAATGAATCGACCTGTCCGGTATGGTTTCTAACAGCAGCATGAGCCCAGGCCGAAAACCTGCTCGGATGCCACGCGGCATGTCGCTCAGCTGCTGCCTTCACTTTTGTCATTGTTCTATGCTGCTACTTCAGGCAGTAGCTGAGCAGTTGCAAGGAATTGCTCGTTATGATCTCAAAGCCTAATCCCCCGCACTCGCCCCAGGTTCTGACAATGCTCAACGGTGAAGGTGGGGCCCTTTGCATTTGTTGTGCTCGTTGACTACTGGCTCCACCGTGTCGAGATTTAGTGTGTCATGCAATGGGTGCATGTGGTGACTGGGGGAGAGTCCTTGCATAATGAGAGTGACTTGATTGATTATTAGCTATCGATGACTCTTTCGTTTCATGCTCGCCAAATGGCGTCCATGAAACTCTGCCATGTCCATGTCTTGCAGCGTTTCAATGATTGCCAGTGGGCGATTATTGAAAATGTACTGGTTTCTTGGGACGGTCGTTCTATTCTTGTGGTAGTTCAGGAGAATCGATTTGTTTTCCGAGTCCCGATTTCAAGCAAGTTGGAGGGATTGTGAGATAAGGTCGTTGGATTAATGGCTGTCCGGAGGTGGCCATTAATCTTCCATAAGGGCCTTGCAGAAGGAATGATTTCGTGCTTGATGTTGGCAGGTCCAGAGGACGGCCTTTTGATCTAGCGGGTTCCAGTTTCAAAGAACCGGACACAATGGTCGCCAACTGGGGGCCATTGAATCATTGGAGTGGTAGTTCTTTACGGTTGGGGGCCAGTAAACACTGAGTGGGTAGTAAGAGTTCGTGAAAGTAATAATATACCCGGTGTTTAATCGCTGCTAACTGGCAGTGATTAAACCGTTTTCAGTTCCCGTAAGCCTTAAATAAAAGCCTTAAACTTAAGTCTTAAGACTTTGGCTCTTGCATCCCGCCGCCACCTCCCTGACTGTTTCCCGGCAGGTTTGACCATGGCTGGTGCCCCAGCTACCAGATTTGGCTGGAGCTGGACTTAATGGCTGCTGGCTGAAGGCCAGCTAAGTCTCCCAAGTCTCGGGTTTGGGGTTTGGGCGAATTCAGGGGATACTCATTTAATGGTCGCCGAGTGACGGCCATTAAAGGTTTCGGGTTGTTGCTTTTTCGACGGGTTAGGAGGTTCGCTTAATGGTTACCAACTGGTAGCCATTAAGCCTCGCAAGATTTAGCTTCGGATTTAATTTAATCGACGGGGCTGGAGCTGCTTAATGGTTGCTAATCGGTGGCCATTAAGTTGTAGATTCTGAGAGGTTTCAAACCGGGGGGGGTCGACGGGCCGGAGAAATTAATGGTTGCCAAATGGTGGCCATTAATCTAGAAAGATAGATTTAAAGCATTGCCAGGGTTTCGGCAGGTTGGACTTGTTCTGCGCATCTTCACTCGCCGCACAGCTTGGGGGCTGGTTTCATTCATTCAAACGCGCAAGATCTGTCATGGTGGCTTGAGATTCTCACCTTTCTGAAACGTCCGCAGCTGCAGTGGGCCAAGAATCATGGACAAAGCGGTAAGGGGTGCAAAGTTGCACATATAGAGATGAGGTTCCATTGCTGTGACGACTCCATAGTTCTCATCTAACACAGGCATGTCTTTCAAATGTCAGCTGTGTTGCCTTAGTATTCAGGCATGATTTGCCCTCCCAAATGTCGGTGCCTGGATTGTCTTGTCAAGAAGTGGGCAGACCGATGCACATATACGGGTCATGATGGACCGAGCTGCTTGGTTTTTTGCGTACTCGGATTTGTGGTGTCTGTTAGCCCCGAGTGACTTGCATGTCCGTCCGCGCTGCCAGGACTCCAAAAATCATATCTTGTGCGAGGGCCGAATGGAATAGGCTGCTGCCTGTGTCAACAGTATGCTGCCGAGAATCCCTCGAAGGTTACCAAGGCCTCACCCTGGATCCTAGGCACAAAAGGAATGCCTGCTGTGTATCGTGGCTTATGACGATTAAATTATAGTGCGACTGCTTTGGGCATTGGAATGTTCGTCATTTTGGCAAACACATAACTGCCGGTTTTTCCATGAGGCAAGGAGGGAAACAACCAATCTTGCAGCTGGAAGACTGTTTGCGACATGGCAAGATGAGTCGCAAAAGCCGACAATCAAGTGCTTTTCATGAAGCAGCACACAGATGGTTCCTATCTGGTGGGCAGGGTCAGCCATCGAGTGAGCAGAGTGAGGGCGAAAAGCCTCTGAGTCGTAGCGTGTCGGCATGCCAGCTGGCCATCTGCCTCGACATTGTCTACTCGCCCCTAGGGGCACAGGGCTTGGAATATGCAAAACGCTGTACATCTCAGAGAAGGCGGGGCAGAACGACGGGGGCACACTCTCTTGTTACACCGAATCTTCAGCCTGTCCTTCTCGCCTTTGCTGAGTCTTCGGCCGGATCTTGTACCACTGGCTCATTCTCATCGGCAATCATATTTCCAGATCCTGAATGCTTATGCTTCTGTCTTGGACCGCAAGATGCGTAAGCAGATGGATAGCGACAAGATTCGGGCTGTTTCTTTGGCCCAGGACTTCAGTTGCAGACTGCTATTGTTGATTGGTCTGGTTTTGGATGAATGCAGTGTGCCGCAGGACTGCAGGCAAGAGTACGAACTCGTCAGATTTCGCGCGGTCACCGATGACTTCAAAATCTTGACTGGTGTGTTGGACCTGGCGTCTACGGATGGGTCCAAGGACTGCGGCTGTCGTCTGAGAATTTTCCTCGTAACTGTTAGATATCACCTTGTGAGTGGAATTGCACGCAGGATGCGCTTTCCAAAGCTAAGCAGCTGTGGGAGAGTGTGCAACGATTTGCCGGCGAGTCCCAGGCAGTTCTGAAAGTCTTTCAGGAAAAGGATTTGGCATCACGGTTTGAGATGATACTACTATGTGTCATTTCTCGTGGCTGGGACTGTAATGTAGGGTCTGCTGAGTGTGCTGTTAAGGTAATGACAATGGATGGAGAGCCTGCTGAACAATTATGTCCTCAATTCTTCAAGCGGGTGGCATCATGCAACCTGAGGTGCAACTTTCGTTGCTTTGTCCATTCTGCGCAAAGGAGCCTGGAGAATTGTCTGCAAGGAGACGAGAGGGTCAGCCAACTAATCCGATCTCTTATCAATGGTTACAGCGATGGGGCCAGTAACATGGGAGGCTTTGCGAGGGCCGTCAAGAATTCCCACAAACTCAAGTCGATGTTCTTGCAGCATGTCCAAAGCGTGGACAGCGCCCTCCAAGGTGGTTCTGCGTCGACAAGCTTCGCTTGTCAGCGTTTCGACACTGTTTTACAGGTCTCGGAAAACTTAACAGTTCATCTCAGAGCAGTCGTGAGGACCCTTCAGGAGTGTGTTGTCAGGTCTCACCATGCTAGCTGGGCTTTGGGCCTCCTCAAGCTCCTGAGCCCCAAAAACATGATATTGCTGGCGTTGCTAGCCGAGTTGTGCAAGACTTGCCAAGTCTACATCCATCGCTGGGACAATTTCAAGAAAGGAGATGTGGTCAGCATGGCGCACGCATCAGCACTTCTAGAGGACTTCAAGCTCCAGGTCAACCGTTTGTTTGCTTTCAGATCGCCATCAAACGAGCTGCAACAGCCGCTCGTGCTGGCACCTGAGTTCACGGCCGGAATGCTTCAAGTGCTGCGGGCCGGTTATGACATGCTGGCCGGGGAGGTCCGGTGATGTTTGTATTTTCGTGCGATAAAGTTGCTTGCAATCTAGAGGAAATTAGTGTCGTGTCTCTGGGAATATGCGCTCGCAGGTAGTGGTTCTCGACGGTAGGATGCTTTTCTTCCGCCCAGAGTGGAATGAACAATCTTACAGGGAAGCAGTGGCGGCAGAAATTGGGGCTATAACCAACATAGTGTCCAACTTTGTCACATCAATCGAGATGCACCACAATACCGCTGTGGCAGCTTCATTTGCCCCGCTGGATGTGAAACACTGGGTCGCGAGTTCGCGTGACGACAAGACTTTGTCCAGGTCTCAGTGATTTGAGGCAGGTCATGGGCCAGTCGAATATTAGTCATATTACTAAAGTATGGCCTTGCTGGCGCCGAGGCCACAGGTTTTCGGGGCGTTGGCAAAAGTACTGGGCATGGAGGCGCCAGGTTCGATTGTTTTGTAGAAGTTTGAACGACGAGATTGTGCTCGCTTGCCGGGTTGAGGCATCAGCTTTGAGTAATGAGTACCTGGTGGCACGGGCAAGCTTCACACATCTTGAGAGGCCTGGTGATGCTTGTAGTAGATCCGAGCAGTGGGGTCATCCTTAGCCTAGCCTTTGATTTGAAAGTCGTTGACTGCTCTGCTGCGTCAGACGTGGTGTCACCAACCTGTATGCAGCTTGGGCAGAGACGATGAAGCACTGGTCTACGCGACTGCCGTTGCTCTCGCGTGCGGTGTGCATCTTACCCCTGCTCGGTCGTAGGAAGCGTCTGTGCTGGTGAAAGACATGCGAGTGAGTAGGGCAGATAGCATATCAGGTAGCCCTGTTCATGGCTTCCTTCGCGGGAACTGGAGAAGTGGAGCAGAATTTCTCCCACTTGCAGATGGCTAACAGTGGGCGGAAATCCAGAACGAAAGCTGAGCATTTAAGGCGGGAATCTGTCGGTGGAATTCATAATCCGCTCTTAAATTAGCTTTGCCTTGAGCAGGAGCCTCCTCAAAGTCAGACTCGATGGGATGCAGCCCCATGTGTTTGTGGAGCGGTGTCAAGCTACTCCAATGTCGCCAGTTACATTCCGCTTGTCCAATGATGCTGCTGCTGCACAACAAGAGTTCCTCAGGCTCTACGGGGGTGGCCAGAATCAGTGTGCCACAGGCATGCCCAGGCGTTTGGTCCGTGCTGCATCTACTACAGATCACGATGTGAATGTAGGGAAGGAGTCAAAAGCAAGCTTGAAGCGGAAACGGTCAGCTCAGATTGAAGGGCTGCCCGCCAGGTGCCAGGAAGATACAGGGACTCTTGAATCTGTGGCGTTAGAATCAGCTGTGTCACGGCAAGGCCCCAAGCATGAACACGTCTTGAAAGCTCTGAAACAAACTTTGCAGCAGAAGCAGAAGCGGCTTAAGCAGGACATTGATGGAACCGTGCCACAGAAAAAATATGAGGATGCTGTTGCCAAACATGAAAAGTTAAAGGAGGACCTGCAATCCGTCCTGCGATGCAATTCTGCTGCATCGTATGTAGCGGTGCCGATGATGACGGCAAATGATGTTCTTGTTCTGCACATGTCCGACACAGACATCACAGCTGTGGCAGCGTGGGGCTTCCAATGTAAGGTGTGGGAAGGGGATGTGGAGCAATACAAGACGTTGATCCAACGAGACCCCAGCAAGCTGATTTGGTACTTGCCTGATGAGTCCCAAGAAGCAGACTTTGTTGTTCCAGCCCAGAGCTCAGCTGTGAGTGATTGGCTCTTTGCACCTCGAGCTCTGGGGGGCTGGATTGCAAGCCCATCGTGGCTGGAGCACTGTCGTACTCGAGGGGCGGTTGTGAAACCCATGCTACGTCTCAAGCCTCATCTTCGTCATACGATGGAGCACCAAGTCTGCAATTGGAGAAACATGTAAATTGTAGCTTCCTGTGTTCCTTGTCGCAGCCCTGACTGCAGTCTGGTGATCCACAAGTCTGCAGCCGATCCTGTTGCTCATCCGGTGGCCTCTGCTGTGACTCGCATCGTAGAGGCAACGAAAAATGGCTCTGCTGGGAACGGCAATTGGAGGCTCCACCACAAATGGCAGCATTGCAAATCCAAAGAGGCTTGTGTCATTGCCAGAAATTTGGCCAAAGCCCACAAGACAAAGGCAGCCAGAAAAACAGTTGGCAGGGTGATGGATCCAGCTACTTTTCTTTGCTTATGTACGACGTGGATAGTGTAGACAGCTGTGCGCTTGACGGGAGTGTTTTGCTCAATGCTGAGCGAAGCTTGCCAGCGTTGTGCTGGTTGGGTAGCCGCATAGCAGGCTAAAAGCCTTTTGCGAAGAGGACGGGGCCGAGCAGAAACGGGGAAAGAAGCCCTTGCGCAGATTCTTTGTTCTTGCCACTGGGAATCTGTCCTCGGCAGCAGGAGTATGCATGCATTTCATGATGCCTGATTCATAGAAGTTGAGGTCGGACCATGCCTTGAGACCGCTGTTGGGCACGAAGCTTTGCTTCCGCCTCAAACTGGGCGTCTGTTTTGAACATCGACAGCAGCTCGCGGAACAGAAGTACTACTTAGCATGCCTCTTGAGTTCAACAGATATTAGTGAAGTCCGACAGGTACCTTAGCGATTCTACGAGTACCCGTCGGGATTGCCTTGGCCACCACTCCTTCGTCTATCAGGCTCGTGCTTGGGAGCCGTTGAGAAGGTTTATACGTAGCTGTCACGTGGGTGCCATAATTCCAATACACGGCGCTTCTTGATTGCTGCACGTTGTTCTAGTCAAGGCACCAGCATTCTCCTGTGATTGTGCGCATAAACTCTATCCATCCGCAGCAGTGTTGCATAATGTTGGTGAGTACTCCGCGTAGTCGGATTCGCAAATGCGATGCATCACCATGGTCGCGGCACTTCCCTCGCATCAACAGACGCCGAGTTGTGCCGACCATGGTGAGCAAATCTGCAGAGCTTTGTGATTCTCATGAGTCTGGTTGTGAAGGCAGCAGCTTGCAAGCAGTTTATTGGAAGGTATCAGTCTCAGTTTTGTTCAGCCACTCAACTTGACGGAGAAATACCTAGGTTATGTGGCAGGCATTCTCTTACCATTTCAGCCTAGCTGCTTCAGGTATTGCTGAGGAGCCCGCATCGAGCTTGCCGGAGAGAGTTGATGATGAACTGCAGACTTCTGTTTCTTCTTCAGCAAAGGCTATGTCATCGGCTGTGGTGAAGCAAGAATGCCTTATGGTTGTGGATGGTGAGCCTGAGAAATCATCGAAAAGCAGCAAGGTGACTGAAGCTCGGCGAGGGCAACTCCGTTCTGCAGAGGATACCAGGCGTGCCAAAAATAAAAAAATGGCCAAGAATGATGACAGCGAGAAGGAAGTGCGGCCGAGACCCTTTGACTACTAAGCACAGTATAATTGTCTTGCTATACCTGGCCTATCAGCTAGGAAAATCGGAGGCAAATCACAACCAAGGACTCACGAAAGGCCAGTACGAGAAGCTTTTGGCCGATGCGAGGAGGCTTCCCTTTGTGGAGCGCGAGCTCGCTGATCTGAAGGGGTACTTGAGGAGCCTTAACAAGCTCGAAGAAAGCAAAGCTTTCAGCAAGGGGAAATGGGGCGCAGGGGTGCTGCGCCCCACTGAAGTTTAATCGAGGATGTCCGACGGGGAGAAACTATCGCATGGCCGCTGTGCTATGTTTTGAAGCCGTGCTTGCCGGGGTTTGCGGTGCAAAGGCCAGAAATACTCTGAATTTGTGTCCACTGCCTGTGGAGGTTTGTTTCTTGATGCTGCACGAGCAAGGCCTGGGGCTTGGTATCTCAGCGCAGTAGGTACTCTGATCAAGAAAAGGACACATGTCGCAGTTTTGATGCGGAGCCGTAGCCTCATAGCAGGGATCTTGAAAGCAGGAATGCCTACTATAATGGAATTGGGTGCGAGGGAAAGTACTGGCTAATTCATGATCATTATTACTGCTATGATTATTAGCGCAGCCAGTGATCTAGTTTTTGCTTGTAGCGTACCTGCAAGCCTGGTGATATTTTATTATTTCTACGTAGAGTAGGCATTCCATGGATTGTCTCTCGGCGACTCTGGCCGAGGCCTGCGGCAGCTGCTGAACCCTCAAAGTTTTGAGTCCATGGTTGACGGCAAGGCCAGCGACGTATTTGAGTCTTTGGAATAGATTTTTGCGGGGAGAGCCGTTTGAGAGGATGGCCCGGCAGCTTTTCTTTTTGCTGATGCTGCTTGTTTGCAGGAATTGGCTTTCGTCAAGACCACTGACATAAAAAAAGGGTCCGGAACCCAGTTCAACGCACTATTGCACGAGGGGGACCCGAAGTGCCCTTGTGCGTTGGACGCCGGCGTCCAACGCACAAGGGCACTTCGGGTCCCCCTCGTGCAATAGTGCGTTGAAAATGGTTTCTGAGAGTTTCCCGGGCTGAGGTCCGAATGTGCGCCGCCCGGGGAAAAGTCGCTGCCCCGGACTGTGCAACCCTGAGAGCTGTAATATGTGTGGCCATTGCAAGCAAGACAGCCAACATATTTGCTGCATGACATAGTATCAGATTTCCCAGGGCGTGGTTTGGTTTCGCAAAAGGCCGGGCTTCCAGGTCTGCGTGTGGTATTAAATTTAAGTATACGTCCGTTGAGTATTGTTACATATGTGTGTGGCTGCGGATCTTGGATGAGGGTTTCGACTTCAGGTTCAGGGTCAAGACATGTGTTGATTGATTCTGGAATGCAGGGTTTTTCCATCTTGGCTGACCTGGAAGTTAGATGACACTAGTGTGTCAGAGCTGGCTTTTGGGAGATTTCTTTGGCAGCAATGACTGTATCGTTGTTCTGGCCAGCACCCAGCCACGGAGAGACACAGAGAGGAGGAAGAAAGAGAGAGGGAGAGATAGAGAGAGCAAGAGAGAGCCAGAAAGAGAGAGAGAGAGAGAGATTGAGCTTCTTCATCGAACCGTCAGCCAGTCAGCCCTAACTCATTCCTGAAATTAATTAACGTCGGATACAGCCATGGTAAGGTTGGGTTTTTGGCTTCTTCAATGGTGGCCTGATGTTGGCCATCATTGAAATTAATTAATGGTTGCGCAATGGCAATCATTAATTGAAGAGTGGTATGGTATTAGTATTTAATGCTGGCTGTATGGCTGGCATTAAATCATGGATAGGGGTAGAGGCTGGGATTGTTTGTTGAAGGCGAACTTTCATCCCAGGATGTGCTGCGATAACTGCTTGACTAAGTCTGCTGCTATAAACCTCAACCATGTCCTGGTACCTGCCTGAGACTTCCTGCGTGTCGCAGGGAGATGCGGAGCTACGTGCGTCAAGGCCCAAGTGTTTGCGAAGCTTTGAAATTAATTGTTCTTTCCGCTTGGCATCTTGAGCAACAGAAGCACATGCCGAAGATTTTGGGGTCGAAGACTCTCTCGAGACTGTGGTGAGTGGGGGTGCAATGGCCCAAGCTACGAGGGTCCGCTCCAAGCGACCCCCCCCTTCTGCTGAAGCCACCACGGGCCCCACAAGCTCGCACCCAACCGAGACTTGGTTCAAATACCGGGGAGGGGGGTTGCGTCCGAATCCTGTGTGCAATGCTTGGGCTTGCATGTCTGAGGTGTCA